TTTGGTTTGTTTTCTCAAGGAGTCCCTGCAGGTCCTCAGCTGTGGCTGCTGGGGGTGGCTGGACCTGGCTGCCACCCCAAATCCCATTCCAGAGCCCAGAGCTCTGACCAGGGCTGGGAGCAGAGGGCTGGATGCTGATTTACAGGTGGGGCAGGAGCCTGAAATCCCGCCCCAAAGTGCTCATTATTTCCTGTATTTAATGCAGAGCCGCAGGATTTGTGGCACTGCTTGCAGGGACTGCAGTCAAAGCCTTGAGCATCCATTTTGCTTTCCAAATTCAGTGCCCAACCTGGTGCTCGAGTTGTTTTTGGGGAGGTGAACTCCTGCAGTGCTGTTCTCTCAAATATCAAATCCCAGAGCCCCCAGGTGTCCCCCACACCTGCAGGGCTCTGTCCCCGCGGTGCCGAGGGGAGAGCATTTCCCACACTCCAGCCAGGATAAACCTTTATGGCATTATTGACTGGAGCACATCTCGGCCAGACCTCAGTGTCACTGATTTAATGAGTCTGCTCTCCTCCCTCCCCTCTCTATCCTGCTCCATGGCTAATTCCTGCTTTATTACAACTGCTGGCCCTCCAAGCCCTTTATGGCATTAGCACAAACTTCTGTGGATGAGCACGACCCCATAAATCAGCTGCTGACCGTTCCCGTGCTGAATGGCAAGGTAATAAATTCAGGGAAATTTGGGGAAGTTAAACTCAGATCTATTTGCCCTCTATCTCTTGAGTCAACTCCTCTCCTTGAACAACCGTGCCAGGCCGTGAAAAAAGAGATATAAATGTCAGCCTGAGCCTTCAGAGCTGAGAGTGGCTGGTGGTGGCCTTCAGAAGGGACGGGATTCAGCTGGGGTGGGGTGGCACAAGCATCCCAGGAGGATTCCTGATGTTCATCCAGTTCTGATTTGAGAGGTTTTCCCCATCCTCAGGGGCAAGGAAATGCTGGCACTGCAGGTGTGGGAACCCCCTCAGCACTGCCCCGGGTTCAAGGCAGCTGAAAGAGCTCTCAATCTGCTCTGTGGTGGGGCTGGAGATGAGCAGGCAGAGCCTTTCTCCAGCAGGAAGGGCTCGGGCAGATCCATCCATCTGCAAATTCCCCAGTAAAGAGCTGAGCGTGATTTCCATGGCGCTGGCTGAGGGAACAGAGCTTCCTGAGCTTCCTCCGGCCTCCTGCAGCATCCTCTGGAAGCTCCCCGGGTTGGGAACAGCTCTCTGAAATATTCATGTCGTGAATAATGGATCACTGGGCATGGCAATGAGCTCCTGCCACAGCAATTCCGAGGAACTCCGGTTTAGGCACATCCCAGTGATTATTTGGCCATTAACTTTAGTAAACATAAGAATGTGAAGAGAAAAGAAAGAAGATCTATAATTTCTCCATTATTTAGCTTTGTTTTAAATGAAACCCTTGGAAAGATGTATATCATTTCAATTTTAGTTCCAGAGGCTTTTATGTAAATTAATTGCATTAGAGAATTGGCAGGAACATTTATTCAATTTCCAACAGCCGTGATTATGAGCTTTACATTAATATAACAACAATTTAACAGTGGCTGATAGATGGGACACAACCATGTAATTATCAAAAGTGAGGCACTTTCTTGATCTCTAATTAGTTGTATAAGCAAACAGAGTTTTGCTGGAACTAATTGCTGGCTTGCAGCTGGAGCGAGGTGAGCGCGGGGCCGGGGTTCAGGTGCTGTGTAGGGAGCCCAGGATTTTGCTGTTTTCTGATCTAATTGGGTGCAGAATTCAGTTCTTTGTGCTGAACAGAAGCAGGGGCTGTGCACAGCTGGGAACCCTCCCCTGGCTGCCGGGGACGTGGGGACAGGAGCTGTCCCTGCCCTGGAGCCACCCCGGGCTGGGTTTGTCACTATGGACAGAGCAAAGCCAGGCCTGCACTGGAGCGAGGGGATTGTTTTCCTTCTTGCCTCTGTTTTTGTGGCAGAGATGAAGTTTTAGCTGGGCTGGCTCTGTCCCAGCCCATCTGGAGCGCTCTGCTGAGAGGAAAATTCCTGGCAGCGCTTGGGGATGGGATCGCGCAGCCTCCAGCAGCTTCTCCACCTCAGCTTTAGCTCTTTGTGGGTCCTTCACAGACCTCAGCTGGGTCCAAGGCACTGTTTTCATCCTGATCCCTTATTTCCCAGAAGTGAAAAGGTTGGGAAGAGCTTGTTGCAGTTCTGAGGGGGCAGGAGAAAAGCCCCAGCTGGTTCTTTCTGCTCCGTGCAAACAGAAAACGATGACTGAGGGACGGTCAGGAATTCCTTGCGTGTGGGATCCACTTCCAGGGACATTCAGGGACGTTCCCACCGGCAGGATTCCTCCCAGTCTCACTTCATCCCCAGGAAAACGAGCTGGGGCTGGGAGTGGGTCTGTCAGGGTGGTGCAGGGCTGGCTGGAGTTCATTATTCCCGTGAATAACGAGCTGCAGGGACTCAGCCCCGCGCTCGTCCTGCCCTCCTTGCGAGGCCTCTGCACCACAGAACTCAGGGGATGACCCCCAGTGCCCTGCTGAAAGTCTGTTTACTTCTGTCACCGCAATGTAAATTGTGTTTTGCAGCTTTTATTGCCTATATCCTCTTCAAAAATTCTTTCTCTCATTAGAGTAAACCAAATTACCAGCGCCGGCGCTTTGTTCCAATTGAATCTGAGCAATTGGCCCAGCACTAATTGCTCGAGGGCAACTTCCACGATCTATCAAGATCATACCCAGGCAGCACTAATGCATTTAGTGGGGACTTTATTGAATTTATTAAGGCCTTGGCCCGATGCAGCTTCTCACAAATGCATTTTGTGAATATGACAGGCCCTGGCCAGTGAATTCCTGCCTCGTTAGGGGCTCTGCGGTGGAACTCACGGTTCTTGTCAGGGCCATTATCCCCTGCACCAAGGCAGGGCTGGCGTTTCCCTCAGCTCTGCACAGGTCTCAGGCTCCAGCCTCCCTCTGGCTCTGAAATTCCTGATGGAACCAGAGCTTTTCCATCCCTCGAGGCCAGTGCTCTGGCAGGGAAGGCGTTTCCCCTGTTCCCAAGTGCAGGAGGAGGTTTCTGTCAGCAAACCTGCCCAGCACCGTTTGCACAGCCTGTGATTTTTCACCGGGTGTTTGTGGCTGACCAGAGCAGCTCCATTTGTGATTTATCAGGAATTCCCTCCTGTTTTCTCCCTGGCATCAGCTGCAGCATCTGCTCCTGGTTTGCAGGGGGACTTATTTAATGCAGAAATCATGCGCTGATTGATGGATGAACTGTTGGCACACGGAGCAATTGTTGAGAAGCCAAAGTCAAAATCTGAGAAGAAGAGAAGAAATGTAGCCTTTAAAAAGTTTTTATTATCTCCCCTGAATGTTAAAGCACCAGCTGGACTCAGATTTCTGTCCTAGACGTGCCTCCCTCACCTCTGGATGAATTATATTCAGCCAAGGAGTGAGCAATGAGAGAATAATAATCTGATTAAGGCTGCGAGGGAGGAGATGTCCTGCCTGGAAAAGTGGAATTATTGGGGCTGGAAGGTGGCCAGCAGGGAGGGCCCGTGGCCTGGGGCCAGAGAGGGATGTGATGGATCAGCCCCCTGATGGAGGGTGACAAATCCCAGCACCTGCTCCCTTCCAGCAGCACTGAACTCCCCCTGCTCCAGCCCCTGCTGGGATCTTCTTCCACGTGGGAAAAGCCCTACCTGCTTCTTTCTGCTCTGTGCAAACAGAAAAAGGCAACTGAGGGACAATTCCTGATATTTCCTGATAATCAGGAATTCCTCACGTGTGAGATCCACTCCCAGGGACATTCAGGGTCACTGCCACCAGCAGAATTCCTTCTATGCACACAAAAACGAGCTGGGACTGGAAGTGGGTCTGTCAGGATGGTGCAGGGCTGGCTGGAGTTCATCATTCCCCATTTTTATAGCCAGGGAGCTTTTCCCAGCTGGAACAGCCGGGGAAGGAAGGATTCCCCCAGGGGTGGAGGTTCAAAGGGGCTGCTGGAGGTGCTCAGGAACCTCTGGGCTCTGTCCCTGCTGCGCTTTGGGGCTTTCCTGATGCCCTGGGAGCAGCCAAACCCATGGGCCGGGTGAGGAAAATATGGAACAACCAACCCAGAACTCAGAAAATTAACAGGAATGAAGATTTCAGGCAAGCTGGTGTTTATCCTGAAACAGGAGTGTCTGATCAATCTCTTATGGTTTCACCTGAATTGATTTGGGACATTTTCAGCCCTTTTGGATGGGGAACACCTAATGGGTTCTTTTAAAAGCATTCAGACACTGTGGAAATGCAGGGTTTTTTTTCCTGAGGAGGTGGAGGTGGAATCCATGTCCTCCATCAGATCCAGGCTGTGAGGAAAATCCTTCCTGCCTGTTCCCAGCTGCCCAGGAAATCCCAGCTGGCAGTTCCAGCCTGGTGGGGTCCAGTTCACAAGTGCAGTCAAGGAATGGGAATTAATTCTTGACCCAGCTTCACCGAAGAGAGAAAATCTGGAGTTATTGCACAATTGGGCCATAATAGACCATAATAATCTGACATAATTATGAACCTTGCATTATTATAAAAATCACCCTCGCTGAAGCAAACTTTGCTCTGCATTTTAAGGATTTGCCTTTTCACTTTAAAGTGCTTGTCCTTTTCCCCGAGTGAATGCAATTTATAGCTCTCCTTGACCTTTAGATAACAGTGAGTGCTGTTATTTTTTGCTCTATTAATCCTCTTATCTTTCTGCCTGTGAACTATTGTTCACCCCATATTGGCCACTGGTACAAATTGTGCCCTGAAATCCAAATACACACAAAAAAAGGAGAGAGAGCAGAGCCAATGATGGCAGGAACGAGCTCAATAATTTCTATTGTGATAACTTGGGCAGGTTCTGTTTATGAATCCCAAGGAGGAACAGAATCCTCCAGGTCATGCTTGAAGTCACTGGGAGAGAGAAAAACTCTCAGTTTTTCTCTCAGTGCCAGCCTAATTTCATATTCTCCCTCCTCTCCACGTATTTACAGTTTTCCTCTTTTATTTTTCCTTAGAAATCTGCCCAAGTGAGGCTGCAGGAGTAATTCTGAGCAGCCAGGGCCTGATTATCAGTCCTGCCCACAGAGAATTCCCTCGGGTGCTGCCTTCTCTTTGCTTCCCAATAAATATTTTTATTTATTGCTGTTAGGAGGGACCTCACTGCAGCCTCTCCCCAGTGGTTTTTCCATGACTTAAAGCCAGGAAATCTCCAGTGAACCTTAACAGGTGCAGTGAAGAGGAAAACCTCACTGGCTGAGGTGAAACACAGGAACCTTTTGGGGTGATAAATAAAACTTTCAGACTTTTCCAGTTTTTGGTTTTTACCTTTCAGAAGGGTCAAGCTGGAGGCTGTTCAGGTGAAATGAAAGGGAATGTGAGCCCCTGCTCTGCTCACGCTCCTGGCAGGAATTCTGCAGGAATTCGCTGCAGATCAGCGAGGATTCATCAAAGTTGCATCAAGTTGAAAGAGTGCCCAAGGTAAGAATTGCTCTGAGGAGCTTCTGGAGCTCAGCTCTCGGGGCTGGGGGTTGGAACACACACACACACACTCAGAGCTGGATGGATGAGAGAGGAGAGGCACAGGAACATTTCGTTTCTGTTATTTCCAAACAGCCCCAGAATTTTATTTAGAGCAGAATTGACTCAGCAAAGCAGCAAATTCCCACTCTTGCAGAGCTGGAGAGAAGAGCAGAGCCTGGAGCTCTCACAGCCCCCCTGCTCCTGCTTTTGCTCCCCTTCCAGAGGGATCCGGAGGGATCCAGATGGATCCAGAGGAATTCAGAGGGGTCCACAGGGGTCCAGATGGGTCCAGAGGGATCCAGAGGGGTCCAGATGGGTCCAGAGGGATCCAGAGGGGTCCCCCAACCCCTCACAGCCCCCCCAGAGCCCGAGCACTGAGCACAGAGAGCCTTGGAAAGCTTTGGTTCTGCCCAGGGACCTGCACAAAGCAGGAAATCTGAGATTTCTGAGCAGAACAGCTCCACAGGGCTGCTCGTTCCTCCTCCTGTGGGATGGATTGTTATCAGCAGCACTGAACCCGTTTGGCACTGGAATATTTCAGGTTTTTGGCCTCAGTTGGATGAGTTGAGGTTTAACTCAGGTGTTTCAGGGCAGTTTGTCCTGTCAGCCTGGCCTGAGTGGAGCTGCCAGGGGACCCAGGGGAGAGAGGGGCTGCTCACGGTGCTCTGTCCATGCCAGGAGCTCACCCAGCCCCACCAGCCCGGACCCTGGGGAGCTTCCCCTCCCTCAGGGTTGTGACAGATACATATCAGAACATTGGCTTCATATATTAATATTAAAGATTAATTAATAAATAATTAAATATTAAAATTAATGCTATGTGTATAAGGTTAGAAAACTTTGCTGTATTAATATAGTTCCTCCTATTTCTGTTATTGATAAACTCAGAAATAGTGATATAATACATATATGTTAGGATATAATATGATATTAAAGCAAAAACTACTTTTGTTTGTATAACCCAGAGACTGAAGAGATTGTCAGAGACCCCCTGCATTTTTAGATTATTTTATCCAGATGAAGACAGCGGTGACCAGAGCTCTGGGGGAGGAATTTATTGAACCTCTGTTATCAGGGACTGTGAAACTCGGTGGAGCCAAGAAGATTGATCTATTGGGAAGGGTGTGAGCTGGGACTAAACAAACATCTGAAATTTAAGAGAAATGTTTGAATCATGTATGAAAATTTATGAATATGTACTAGGATTCTGTTTTTAAGGGACAATCCTTTGTTAGCAAGGTGTGCAGAATGCAGAGACACCCGGTTGTATTTGTACATTTTACTTTATTTTTATCTCCTGATTGTCTTTCTATTAAACTTTTTAAATTTTATATAATAAATATGTGAACCTCGTTTTTCACAGGGTGCTGCCTGGGAGCTCCAGCAGCTTTTTCTGCACAAAACAACTCTCTCTGCCCTTTGCTTTTCTAATCCCAAACTAGCCTGGGGCTCCGGTTCACCTTCTGGAGGAGCAGCTCCGCCACCTTCCCAAGCGGCTGCTGCAGAGAGAGGATTTTAAATTCCAGCAGGATGAAAGGAAGAGGTGCAGGGGCTCCTCCAGGCCAAGACAGGGGGATTTTTGTGCCCACCCTGCAGGGGACACGCGGGTCAGGCTGTCCTGCCTCAAGTTGTGACCCTTTTTCTGTTCCGTGCTGTTCAGGCTGGGATTGTTTCCCCCTGTGCGGGGTGAAGATCTGCTGGCAGTTTTTGTTTGACAACAGGTTTTGCTGGCAGCAAAGAGAAACATTCTCTATTTCACACGTTTTTATGGCTTTTTATTCCCTTTTCCACCCATGCAAAGGCCTTTCCCAGGTAAACTCCAGCGGCTGTAATCTCCATTCCTCTTAGAGTTTGGGAAGTGGGAGAGAGGAGGAATATTGCCAGTTCTGATGGCAGGGGTTCTGCCAGCCCCAGGTGAGGAGCAGATGGAGGAATTTAAAATTCCGTGCAGCACAAAGACCTTGAAATAACGAAAGGGAAAAAAAAAAATCAAAATGCAAACTGACTCCTCCAATGCATCTTCAGGCAGGGAAAATAGGATGCAATTAAGTTCTTCCACCAAGGCTCCAGTCCCTCTAATGATAAGCTTTAAACGAGCAGCTTAATGAAATGTCACAAGGACAGGGCTGGAACAATCCAGGAACGTCCTGGCTGCTGGGCAGAGCTGCACCTGAGAGAGGAGAAATTACAGGGGGAGATGAAAAGGGAGAGTTTGCTTCCCTGTCCCTGCTGTAAATCCAGTGAAAGCGCTGGTGGTGTGCCACAGAGGAATTCGGAATTTTAAACAGGAAACCCCAAAAGCAAAGGTTTGAGGGAAAAGCAGCCAGGCTCCTCAAATGAAATGGGATTTTCCCATTAGATTATTGGTAATTCCTGGTAACTCTGGCCACGATGTTTGCCAGTCTTTAGGGGATGGAGCTGGGAAATTCCTGGATTTTGGAGGCAGACTGTGCCCACAGAGCTGCTCCTTCCTCCCTGGGGTGGGAGGTTCTGGAGTGTTCTTCCTGTAGAAAGAGGTGGTTTATGTTTTATGGAGCTCCCTGCTTCATCCTGTGGCACTCGGGTGCTTTGCCATCTTCTCTGCTGCCAAATAAACCAATAATTGAATTTCATCGGGATTCTGAGAGTCACCTTCAGGCTCTGCCCCCAGAATGCCCGGCCAGCCACTCCCTGCTCTCCCCTTTTGGACCAGTGGTGGAAATCATGAGGAATTTTGTTAAAACCTCATCCAGGGAGGGTCAGAGGTGGGTGTTTGGGGCAGTCAGGCTGAGAAAGCAGGAGGGGAGCAGCAGGGTGGAATTCACATGTTTGGGGGAGTAGGATGGGCACAGGGCTGGGCTGAAGGATCCCCTCAATCCCTCCCTGCCTGGATCCCCCCAATCCCTCCCTGCCTGGATCCCCTCAATCCCTCCCTGGATCCCCTCAATCTCCCTGGATCCCCTCAATCCCACCTGGATCCCCTCAATCCCTCCCTGGATCCCCTCAATCTCACCTGGATCCCCTCAATCCCACCTGGATCCCTTCAATCCCTCCCTGGATCCCCTCAGTCTCACCCTGGATCCCCTCAGTCTCACCCTGGATCCCCTCAGTCTCACCCTGGATCCCCTCAATCCCACCTGGATCCCCCCAGTCCCACCTGGATCTCTCTGAACTGTGTTTGTGATGAGTTTCCTTCCCTGTTTGGGAAGGGGATTTGGAGTGGACACTTGGTCCATGTCAGTTTTTCTGCTCCTTCCGCTCCTCCCCAGACCCTGCCAGTCCCAAATTAGGATAAAAACAGGCAAAAAAAAATAAAATAAAATCCAGCATGCAGCAAATTGTCCTGGAACACATCAGCAGCTTCGTGCTTTAGCCCTAACTTGGAAAAAAATTCTCCCAGCACAGCTCCCCCGGGGCAGGAGAGGAACTCTGAATTCATTTCTTTTGACGACCACGTCAACCTGCTTTGCACAAAAAAAGGAAAAATAAAAACCTATATTTAGAATGCATAATGCAAGCATATCATCTTCTAAACAAGAAAGTAGGGCACATCCTCAGCCAGGATGAAAAGGAAATGGGGAAAGACAAAAAGAAAAAAAAGCCAAGTCTGCGTTGGAAAGTGGGAGATGGCTCCCACATCAAGGCGGTGTCAGAGTGGCAGCTCCCGCTGTAATAACAGTCATGTAAACACAAATACAAACATCCCTCGCTGCACACCTCGCCTAAACGCAGCTGCACGCAACAAAAAGGGTGACAGAAAGCCATGGGAAGTGATGAATATTTCCTGCCTGCCTGGCACAGAGTGAGGGGAAACCTGACAGGGCTCGGGGGCTGTTCCTGCAGGCCCTGCCTGCTGAGTCGGAGCTTTCCCAAATTCCTGCAGCTCGCTGGGCTCCTCTCAAGTGTCAAATGTGAAAAAAGAGCTTTGAAATGCCCCAAATCTTCTCTTCAGTGTGCCTTTAACCAGAGTAAACAGCCTTTGTTTTGTCTTTGGTGCCCAAAGAGCCGATTTCCTGGCAGCAGGTGGGGAAGTTTCATCCCTGGGTTGGAACTTTTTACACCAGATCCATGAAAAACCAACGGGAAGCCGGCCTGGGAAGCTGTGCCTGGAGCAGATGAACACAAGGACACAGCACATCCTGGCCTGAGAGGCTCCAGGGAGAAGCTGAAAGCGAGGTTTGAGTGCTGGGGGGTGGAAATGGATCATTTTCATCCTGTGGATCCCGGGACAGACCTGAATGTCACTCCCTAAAATTCTCTATACCACATACACAGATATTTAATATGCTAAAACTTCATAAAACCCTTTAGAAACAACTTCAGCCTTTTGGAACTGCCCAAGGAATCAGAAATGATAAGAGCTGTGGATGCTGAATGGTTGTGCTTGTGGCTCTTAGTTGGAACTGAAATGGAAAATGGAGCTGAGTGCTCTGCACTGGCCCCACTGCTCAGACTTGGGGTCGGGGGCACTGAGTGGGTGCCTTTATCTCTGGTACCTGGCTCTGAAAGCACCGAATTTCACATAACACCATGAACACCATGAACTTTAACAACTCTTAAAGTTAAATAGAAAAAACAGGAGTGTGAGTGTGTAAATCAGAGAGTTTTCTTAAGCCACTGGGTGAGAAAGTTAAAGTCTAAGCTTTAAGCTAGTTTAGAGAACAAAAGACAAAATGGAGGATTTATGGTGTTTTCTGTTTTCCTTCTTCTTTCTTCTTCATTTCTTCTTCCAGAGGTTTTTGGGTGGTAGTAAGTGATTGGATAGAGAATGCTGCAGTGCAGCACACAGGTGTTGGGTCATGGGGTCACTAAGATAAATAATTTACTTGGTATTTGTTAATTGGATAAATGGACATAAAAAAACCTTGAGGAAGTTCTTTGTTAGCCATTTTCACCTTTCTATCTTAGTGCACTCAGCTCCTTGTAGCCTGTATCCCTGCAATGGAGATAAAAGAAGAATAAACAACCAAGCCCAAACAAGAGAGAAAACTGCCTCTCTCTCATCAGTCTCTGAGGGGGAAAAAGAACCCGACCACGAGTGTCCCATCAGGAGCCCAGCGTGGTGCTTTCAGTCCAGGGTGCCACAAACTTGGGCAATCCCAAAAGCCCAGGGTAAAACCAGATGGGCTGGGGGGGCACTGAGGCCCCAAGTCCTTGTCCTGGAACATTATTGCCCATATTGAGATTCTGTGACCCAGAGATTCTGATTCTGTGATTGTGATTCAGTGATTCTGATTCTGTGATTCTGATTCAGAGATTCTGATTCAGAGACTCTGATTCTGTGATTGTTATTCAGTGATTCTGATTCTGTGATTGTGATTCTGTGATTGTGATTCAGTGATTCTGATTCTGTGATTCTGATTCAGAGACTCTGATTCTGTGATTGTGATTCAGTGATTCTGATTCTGTGATTCTGATTCTGTGATTCAGTGATTCTGTGATTCTGATTCTGTGATTCTTATTCAGTGATTCTGATTCTGTGATTCTGATTCAGAGATTCTGATTCTGTGATTCTGATTCAGTGATTCTGATTCAGAGATTCTGATTCTGTGATTCTGATTCTGTGATTCTGTGATTCTGATTCAGAGATTCTGATTCTGTGATTCTGATCCTGTGATTCAGTGATTCTGTGATTCTGATTCTGTGATTCTGATTCAGAGATTCTGATTTTGTGATTCTGATTTTGTGATTCTGATTCAGAGATTCTGATTCTGTGATCTGTGTGATTCAGTGATTCAGTGATTCAGTGATTCAGTGATTCAGTGATTCTGTGATTCAGTGATTCAGTGATACTGATCCTGTGATTCTGTGATCCTGATTCTGTGATTTTGATTCAGCCTGATCCTGTGATCCTGTGATTCTGTGATTCAGTGATTCAGTGATTCTGATCCTGTGATTCTGTGATCCTGTGATTCTGTGATTCTGTGATTCTGTGATCCTGTGATTCAGTGATTCAGTGATTCAGTGATTCAGTGATTCTGATCCTGTGATTCTGTGATCCTGTGATCCTGTGATCCTGTGATTCTGTGATTCTGTGATTCAGTGATTCTGATCCTGTGATTCTGTGATCCTGTGATCCCCCTGAGGTTTTCTCCTTGCTCCCAGAGCTCTCCTCCCTCCGCAGCTCGGTCCTTGAAGAGCCGAATGCCCCATCCTGCTGCTGCTCCATGTCTTGGGGCTGCTTTGGGTGCCCCTGGCAGGGGCTGTGACGGCTCTGGACACTGCAGGAGTGTCCTGGATCCCAAAT